ACCCACTGCTTCTTTACTGAGACAGGTACATCCTCATCTTCACCCATCCATCGAGGTTAGAGAAGCAGCAACCCAGCATCTGCTCTAGAGAAACCCAAGTGAGCCCAGGCACAAAGGTGTACTGGAGAGGTGGTGAGATCTGATTATGTGCGTCACGCAAGCTGAGCAGCTGTGGAGGAACGGGATGCACAGACTCGAATTCATGGAAAATATATAATTGCTCTTCGTCGTTCAATGGGCTGCTTGGGATAGCAGTTGGAGACACAGTTAGGAGTTTTGAAAGAGGCAATTTCATACTCATCATACTCATTGTGTGCTACTCTTTCTCCTTTTCTCTTTTTGGTTGAAAGCCTCAGCTTTAGTCTCCTAACTAGAAGAGTATCTGCCAGCACAAAAGTCAACGAACTCACAGGAGACAAAAGACATTCTTGGTTTGATTGCTCCTAATAAACTTCAGTGCTTCCAGACCACATAATGTCATAGAATTATTTGTAATGCTTCTTTAAAGGGGGGGACAGCGTTCAGAAATGAACTGCACATGGTAAGAAGAGCCTCCCAGGGGTTATCCCTGCAAAAATGAGCTGCAAGGCTTTGGGAGTGGTGGTGGTTTCCGGCCATTAGCATTACTAATCAAGGCCAGCTTTGCATTTACGGGAATCTACACAAATCAGGATGCTACATGCTATGTTCACTCAAGCAGACCTGCCTGATTTCTTCAAGGTTACGCTGAAACAAAGCCTTAGCCCAATTATCTTGGATTGGAATGCTTCATTATTTTAATATATCCTTGAGAGAGAGAGAGAGAGAGGAGAGAGAGTACATGAAGTAGACACACATCAGGTCCATGGGTCACAAAATCATATTTAGTGCTTCATGCCCACATAAAGCAATTACTGTCGGCTCGTTACTGGAGGAAGCATTAGTGGAGAAAATACAAATCCTAGATAACCTACCAGGTCTTTCTTGCTGCCATAGTTACAGCTGAGGTGAGAGAGAGAGAGACAATGGGAGTGCCAGAAAAGCTCGGGCCTAAAAGGTCTCTTTGGGAAACTCTGAGCAGACGTGATACATTCAGCTGCCATTCTGCCCTCTTTTTATGCCCATTGCCTTTTTGCCCTGTACCAGGAAGCAAAAATAACATTGCTTTGCCCCCCGCAAACTTGTGGTTGACAAACAGAAGGCGTGGAGCTGAGGAAACCAGGAGAAGATGGCAGAGGAAGTCCTCTGTGAGGTTGGCAGTCACCAGGCAGTCAGAGCCTGGAGGTCTCTGGGGACCGACCACAGGCTTCTAAATGGAGCCTCTGTACCTTCCTCCTTAGGATGCTTGAGCCATGCCCCAGGCTCTCTGGGCATAGTTTGCCCTTTAGGATCTTGACTGTGTCAACCAACATGGTACAAGCTGTTTAATTACAAATGTTATAACCAATCATTTGCACACATAGGCATTCTTACACTACAGATCCTACAGGTCCTGGGCATTACTGCTATTCCTGTCCTTCTGATATAATGAACTCTTTGGGCCAGGCACCTCCCTCCCAGGCCGGAAGCCACAGGAAGAGTAAAGACGACACCACTTCAGGTGATTCCTAATGGCATTGCTTCAGGAAGGGTACATACGTTAACAAGGAAGAAAATCTTAAGTGGTAAAACTACCATGGAATTCCAGACCCTACTGAGCAGCTGGGGGAGATGGAGGATTTACAGAAGTCATAGCAACGATTACGGCTCGGGCTTCCCTGGTAGCGCAGTGGTTGAGAGTCCACCTGCTGATGCAGGGGACGTGGGTTCGTGCCCTGGTCCGGGAAGATTCCACGTGCCGCGGAGCCTGTGCTCCACAACGGGAGAGGCCACGGCAGTGAGAGGCCCGCATACCGCATTAGGGCTCGTTGGAAAGGAAAGCTGGGAAATAACCATGGGGAAAGATGGCAAAAATCATTAAATTGCATGTTTTAATGCAAAAAATATTTTGGATAAAAATGATTATAAAGAACCAAATTCATATCCTCTGTAAATATGACTTCACAATAAAATTAATGGGGTCTAGGAAGAAGGCATTAACAGCTTTTTGCCTCAGAATGAATTTCTGTGCATTAGAGTGAGAAATCAGGTAAACAGATACAAAACATCAAATGACAGAGTGAGGAACAACGGAAAATGTAAGGAAATTATGGGCCAGGATTCTTCCTAATATTAAAGAGAGAGGCAGAAAGAGAAAAAGAGAGGAAGGAGTGGGGAGGAGGCTCCAAAAAGGTCAGGAAAAATAAAAGGCCAGTGACTGTAAAAGGGAAAATGACTCATAATAAGAGGGAAAATTATGAAAAACATAAATATTGACTATAAAATACCAGTGGGCAAGAGAAAAATAAGAGTTAAAGAAATCATTGAAACCGCACATCTCTGATTCATTATTTGTTCTTTAAATTCTTCTGTGAAGCTCATCAGCTAGGAAAGGTACATTATGTGATGAAAATATAATATTATGATTTCTGGCTTAAAAAGGGGGGTGAAATTAAAGGCATTATTACTTCTCTTCCCTCTTCCAAAACACACAGAAAGCAACAAAAATTGTGAGGCACAAAGGAAAATATCAGATGTAATCAAACAAACAAGCAAACAAAAGAGGTTCCCATTCTTTTACAAACCATGAAGCATACATACACGGGCTGAATTCAGGAAGGATGCTGAAAGCTGACAAGTATCTCAAGTCTCAAACAGGAGCAAAAAGTTTTTGGCTAAAGTAATGTCGTAAATGTCTAAAGGGCATATGCAATGAGCCTTTGGTGAGAGTGGCAAGACATACAACTGAAGCTCACAGAGACACAGTTTGACACCACATCACAGAAGGGGAGGCAGAGCTAAGAGAAATGGTTAATATTGTATTCCTATTTACCTTTGTATTGTGTTATTATTATATTCCTTCTAGCCAAGGAAGACTTCCAGAGTCAGTGACATGCCTATGGAAATTCCAAGGGAGTAAGGGGACTTCCCTGGTGCTCCAGTGGCTATGACTCCACGCTCCCAATGCAGGGGGCCCAGGTTCAATCCCTGGTCAGGGAACTAGATTCCACAGGCTGCAACTAAGAGTTTGCATGCCACAACTAAAAGATCCTGCATGCTGCAACTAAAAAAAAAAAAAGAAGTAGAAGAAGAAAAAAAATTCCAAGGGAGTAAGCCAGTAAAAAGTAACAGAAAATATACAGACTTGGATTTTCTAGATAATTCTTTCATGCAGAAAGTTTAGTCTTTACAGTTTATACCAATGGAAATTTTCTCTCAGGTGAGTATTCTGATAGAAGGTGTTTGCATTTTATAAGGCAAGTCCAGAGAAGGAAATATCAAATATATTACGTAAAGCATTTAACTCTTTTATGTTAAGCAACAGAATTTGAGAGATTTGGTAGATGGCTTCAATCTGAGCATCTATCTAGGTTTTCAGAGGGTAAGGATGAGGAATGAACAGAGAAGTGTGACCAGATTATACTACTCTCCTTCTGCTGTTGTCAAGAGCTGAGGGTTACTTCATCTGAGAAAACACAACTCAGTACATAGAAAAAGCAATTCAGTGATAGTCTGGGTGTCCACTGACTGGTCTTAGGACAAGCACGTAGAGGTTTCTGCCAGGTATAAATAAGAGTCATTGGAAGGATTTATTTATTTTTTTTTTTAAAGTTTTTTTTTTTGGCTGAGTTGGGTATTTGTTGTGTGCAGGCTTTCTCTAGTTGCAGTGCACGGGCTTCTCATTTTGGTGGCTTCTCTTGTTGTAGAGCATGGGCTCTAGGCACGCAGGCTTCAGTAGTTGCAGCATGTGGGCTCAGTAGTTGCAGCACACGGGCCCTAGAGTGTATGGGCTTCAGTAGTTGCGGTACGTGGGCTCAGGAGTTGTGGCTCTCAGGATCCAGAGTGCAGGCTCAGTAGTTGTGGTGCACGGGCTTAGTTGCCCTGCGGTATGTGGGATCTTACCAGACCTGGGATTGAACCCGTGTCCCCTGCATTGGCAGGCAGATTCTTAATCACTGAGCTACCAGGGAAGTCCTGGAAGGATTTAAAAAACAACTTTCTGACTCTGCCTACAGAGGACCTTGGACTTGGTACATGGGTTTCTATTTTTCCCAGAAATAAGGTGGCCAATGAAAGTTCTGAATTTGAATTAGATAACACACTCTTAATTGTTCTCACAATTTACAAGCATTCTCTCATTCTTCTCCTGGCTATACACAGGTTAAAATCTATAGAATCTCATGGGGCCCTAGCCCTTTAAAGAAACATGGTTTATGTACAGACGACGGATGATTAACAGATCTGTAAAGGAAGTTAAGCTAAGGAGGGAATCTAACTGAAAACAATGAAAATCAACAAAGCCAGAACAGACCCAAACGTTAAGCAGCATTTACTTAAGTGATATTAGCTAATGGCACCGCTGGGTAAGTGAAGTATGAGCTAATACTGACTTCCTCTCCCAAGTTCAAAACTACCAGAATGGTCACAGACCCACGGAACATACATTTCAAGTTTGGGCTGCTTAAGAAACGGCCATGGGTTGAACTGTGTCCCCCTAAAATTCACACGTCAAAGTCCTAACTCCTAGTGTCTCGGAATGTGACCGTATTTGGAGGCAGGGTCTTTAATGAGGCAATTGAGATTGAATGAGTTCATTGAGGAGCTCTGGTCAGTATGACTCGGGTCCTTTTAAGAAGGGGAGATTGGGAGAGAGATACACACTGAGGGAAAAGCATGTGAAGACACAAGGAGAAGGAGGCCCTTTACAAGCCAAGGAGAGAGGCCTCAGAAGCAGTCAAGCCTGCAGACACCTGGATCTCAGACTTCCAGCCTCCAGAACCGTGAGAGAAGAAATTTCTGCTGCTTAAGCTATTCAGTCAGTGGTGCTTTGTTATAGCAGCCCCAATATGGAAGCCTATAATGAGCCCTTTTCTCCCTCTTAGAAGTCTGATGTAAGACACAAGTTTCTTTCGTGGTTAAATGCTTTTGTACATCATACTCACAATCCCAACAGGAAAGGCCAATACAGCGAGCATCCAGTCCCGGAGAGAGATGAGCTTCTTGAGCTGCCTCTCTTGTTCTTGGCTCCCACTTCCTCTAGTCAGGAGACTGGAAAGATCAGTCAGCACACAGATGCCAAAAAAGACAGCTTGAATAACCTGGAGGGAGACAACGACTGGTATTAGTCAATAAGATCGAAAGAAACCCAAGCTGTAGGACAGCAAACAAGCTACACCTTTGCAACATGACACAGGGTAGAAGAGGATCAGATGCACATTTTAAGAGCTATTAGCCCTGCAAACCAAAAAAAGAGTCAGACATTTACAACTTGCTACCATAGGTGAGAAAATTCATCTTAAAAACACTGCTTCCATTTTTGCACACCTAAGGACAAATACAAAACATGCATGGACAGAAAGCGGTATCAGTTCTCAAATGACATGTCCCTTATTTTAAAACATCACATCTGTGGTTTAGTAATATTGACTAGTGTGATTTAACAAACATCTAAAAAGTTCAAAGAAAAAGACTTAAAAAAGATCAATAGGGCTTCCCTGGTGGCGCAGTGGTTAAGACTCGGCCTGCCAATGCAGGGGACACAGGTTCGAGCCCTGGTCCAGGAAGATCTCACATGCTGCGGAGCAACAAAGCCCGTGCACCACAACTACTGAGCCTGCGCTCTAGCGCCCGCGAGCCACAACTACTGAGCTCACGTGCCACAACTACTGAAGCCCATGCACCTAGAGCCCGTGCTTCACACAAGAGAAGCCACCGCAATGAGAAGCCCGTGTACCACAACGAACAGTAGCCCTGGCTTGCTGCAACTAGAGAAAGCCCGCATGCAGCAATGAAGACCCAACACAGCCAAAAATAAATAAATAAAATAAATGAGTTTAAAAAAAGATCAATAATAAATGAGACAATTTAGTGTGAATGTGAAGGAACCTTCCTATGATTTAATCTCTTAGAGTCAAAATTTTTTCTACCAAAGGAAGTGGTAGAAAGCTTCTAGTCCTTGAGTCATAGAGAAATCAACTGAATGCAATAATCAGGACTGAAATGGAGCAATTTTCTGTTGTCAAACTTGAACTAAATGACCTCCTTCTCAGGTTTTCAATCTTTATGAAATAAAATCTGTCCAAAGTAATGTAAACTTAGATACCCACACCATTTTCCCAAATAATGTACAACAACCACTTGTACATTCCCCAATCAATTACAAATTGAATTACTGACATCAGCTATGTTTTCTTGGACTATCACAGAGAGAGAACATTGAAACGCTAGAGCCCGGTTATTTGTGAAATTCCTAAAGTGGGGGTAAAAGTATTGATGATCCCTAGCCTCGAGTGAAGGCAGGCAGCATACTGTAATACAGCTTGGCAGATGATAATTCAGATTATGGAAAGGGCAGAAAATATATTCCCTAGGCTCAAAGTCATACCCATTTAGCACCAAGAATAGATTCAGGGGAATTTTTCTGATTTCGTTTAAAAGAAATAATTTACTGATGATTTATTTGTAAAAGATACAACTTTACTCATTATGTTTAGCAAACATAACAAAATAATTTTTTTAGTGAATTACCATCTTGGCAGTGGTACAAGTCTGTGAAAGCTCTGTTCCTTCCTGAGGCACAGAACAAAGGGAAGAAGGACCCTCAAAGTTACCCTCAGCAAAGCACTGACATACTCAGATGGTTAAACTCTTATCTTAGCCACTTTGAAAATTCCCAGTAATGGAGATTCCACCATCAGTTTTAGTCAAATAAACAAAAATCCTGCAGTATTTTTTACGTCTAATACACCAGGCTCTTCTGAACTCAACAGATCCTGCTATTATCAGTCATTCTTAGTCAGAGTAATGTTCTATTCTTCTTCATAATTTAGCCTATCTTTTGCCTTCAATGACTTAAGGGTTCTTGCTTTTCTACAACCAGAAAAAACAGAGGAGAAGTTAAGACTGCCACCTTGAGCATGGCACAATTAAAGTGTTGTCAAGAATCATGCTGTGATGACCAGAAATGATTTAAATGACTCAGAGAATAATCTCCTACTTGGGAAAATTTTTCCATAGCACATCTTACGACTTTAGATGTTAGATCTTTATGTCAACCCTAATGGGGGTTGAGAAACTGGAGTGTCCATGCTGGGGAATAATAATCTCTATGACAATCTGGCAGTGAACATATTAAAAGGTGTCCTACCTGATCGATAACCAGGGAAATGCAAATTTAGATAGCATTTCTCATCCATGTAACTACTCACAATTTAATTCTGAGAGTACCAAGTATTATAAGGATGGAGAATAACCAGAATCCTTATGGTGGGAGTGCAAATTGGGAAAACCATTTTGAAGAACAATTGGCCATATCTAGTAATTTAAAGATGCATATACTCTTTTATTTAGTGACTTCACTATGAAGTCACATTTACATGAAAGTTAAATTTAACATTCATTGCTTCAGAAAAATGGCACAATCTAAATATCTCTTAATAGTTGACTAGATAAATAAATCATGCTATAGTCACACAATGGAATTCTAAGCACACATCAATTTTTCATTCTCACAACAAAACACTAAACAAACAAAAAAGGAAACAAAAAATGCTGTGTATTGACACCATTAAAATAAATTTCAAAAAATGCAAAGATAAATTTAAAGATGCATGTATATGAAGTAAAATATGAAGAAACACATGGAATTAATAACAGTAAATTTAGGTACCTCTACAAGGAGGATAAGATTGAGGAAAGGACACAAGGGCCTCAACAATATCAGTATTTTATTTCTTAAGTTGATTATTGGGTATACAGAAGTGCAATCAAATGCTGAAAATCTGTGAAAAAGAGGAAATCTTGAAAGTCACTACAGAAAAAGACATCATGTACGGAAAAGTAAAGATAAAAATTATCTCAGACTTCTTGTATAAAACAACACAAGCCAGAAAACAGTAAAATGATATCTTTAAAGTGCTTAAGGGGGAAAAACTGTCAAAGGTGAAAGACATTTTCAGACAAATAGAAGCTGAGAGAATTCATTGCCAATAGCCTTTCACTATAAGAATGTAAAAGGAATTGAGACTATGATACCAAATATAACTTCAAATCTACACTAAGCAGTGACAGTTGCTAAAATAGTAAATATGTGGATAACTATAAAAGATTTATCTTCTAATTTGTTTTAGTTTTTAAAAGATATTGACTATTTAAAGCAAAAATATAACAATATATTGTGAGGTCTTTAACATAGTTAGAAATAAGATTATGACTATAATAGTACAAAAGACAAAAAGGAATGGAAGGCATACTGCTGTTGAATTCTTAGTTACATATAAGGTGGTATAATATTATTCGGTAGAAGACAGTGATAAGTTAAAGATGCATATAGTAAACCCTAGAGTAACCACTGAAACAATAAAATGGAGATCTTTAGCTAATGTACTGGTTGTCTGTGTGGCAAAACAAATTACCACAGACTTGGCAGCTTAAAACACCAATTTATTAGGTTACAGTTCTTTAGGTCAGAAGTCCAGGTGGATTAGTCTGGCTTCTATGCTCAGGGTTCCACAATACCAAACTCATAGTGTTGGCCAAGTAGGGCTCTTATTTCAAGGTTCAAGGAAAGGTTCTACTTCCAAGCTCATTCTGATTGTTGGTAGAATCCAGTTCTTTTAGACTATAAAACTGAGGTTCATGTTCCCTTGTTAGTTCTTAGCCAGAGTCACTCTCAACTCCTTGTATCTGCTCTCCAATCTTTGTATGATGGCCCCCTCCATATTCAAATCCAACAACAGAATATCAAATACTCTTTAGGCTTCAGATCTCTCTGACTCTTCTGCTTTCCTCTTCTGGCCTGAAAAAGCTTTCTGATTTTAAGGGTTCATGTGATAAGATCAGGCCCACATGGATAATGCCTCTTTCTTAAGGTCAACTGTGCATATATCATAGTGTAATCAGAGGAGTTATAGCTCTTTCATTGACAGGTTCGCAGGATTATAGTGGGATATCTTTGGGGGTCAATTTAGAAATTCTTTCTATCACAGCTAATAAACCAATACTGGAAATAAAATGGAATGCTAACAATATCAAAGTAGTCCAAAAGAAGTCAGAAATTGGGAAAAAGGAACAAAGAATAGATGACACAGAGAAAAAAATAAGATATCAGACTTTAATCCAACAATACCTATAATTACATTAAATACAAATGGTTTAAACTCTCCAATTAAAAGGCAGAGATTGACAGATTGCATTTAAAAAGCAAACAGCACTTCAAGTGTTAAGGTACAGATTTGTTAAAAGGTAAATGAACACGAATGCTAATCATAAGAAAGATGGAATAGCTATACTAATAACAAAAAGTAGGTTTCAAGATAAAGAATATTACCAGAAATAAAGAAGAACATTTCATAATGATAAAGGGATCAATTCACTAAGAAGGCATAATGATCTTAAATGTGTAATACCATAGCTGAGCCTCAAAACAGAGGAAGCAAAAACTTATTTAAGAAGGGTTTAAATTACTCAATAAGTGTTTTTAAATAAATAAATGATTCACTGGTTCTTGGGAAACAGACACTTTTATGAAGATTTAAAATGCAAGTGAAAGGGGAGAAACAATCTCATATTCTAGAAGAGAAAAACAAAAGAAGTTCTGCAAATATAAATGTAATAGTCTAAACAACATTTGCCAAATTTAGAAGATTAATGGTATTATGAAATCTTATACTTCTCTACAGCTGATTCCTTTTCTTACTCTTTTTATCCACTGGTGTCATCTAACACAGCAGTCCCCTCACTATTACCTGGTGGTTATCCTGTCACTGTCTGTAGGTCTCTCCACTGGCTCTCCCCTGCTCACGACCACAGTATGGCCGCCATGCCTGAACTGCTGTGGAAGACTTCCCCAAAGTGAGTATGTGGAAATCAAAGAAAGGAGGTACCAAAAACAATTTTCACCTGGTTTCCAAACATCAGGAGACAGAGAGAGAATTGTTGGGTTTTGTTAGGGTTGCTTTTTGTTTGTTTGTTTTTGTTTTGTTTTTATAACGCACACTGGCTTATCCTCAAAATGTAATACCTAAAAATTATGAAACAGGCCATCATTCCCTGCAGAGAAGCAAGGATTGACTTTTGGTTATTTGCTAGTTTAAGAAGC